TTTTAAAAAAAATTGAAAACTATTTAATACTTTATTTCATTAATTCAAATTGACAAATAATTATAAAATTTTTATAAGTTTATTTAAATTAATAAAACAAAATATTAAATAGTTCTCAATTTTTTAAAAAAATTGTAAACTTAATCTATACATTAAAGAATTTTTTAATTCAACGATTAAATCGTTAAAATTTAATATTAAGTATATATATTAATTTTATATACTTGGGAATTACGGTTGGGGAAAAGCAGGGTGAGGAGAGGCGGGAATGACAAATCTAACATCGTCTAACATAATTCTAACAACTGAAGCAAAATTAAATGGCCTCTTCAAAATAGTATTTTCAAACTAAAATTTCAATTTTGGATAACAAAAAATGTCAATAATAAAACAGAAGAACAAAAATGAAAAAGTAAGACATCTGCTACTTGAAACTCAAAGTCAAGCTTCCTGGACAATGGAAATTTTAGGGGCGAAATTCTCTTTTGAATTTTTCATCTGAAAGTCATCTTTAGATTATTCACATCTATTTTCAAGAGAACAATATGTCCGTACTTGGTCTGTAGAAGTTACCTGCGCAGTTGATGGTTCAAACCTTGTACTCATGAAGATGCATCCACTTTGTTGAAGACCATTTGTTTCCTCTAATTACTGGGCAACCTCCTGGAAGCAAAGATAAAATTTTCATTAGCTTTACCAATCATGACCTTCCTGGGACCAAAAGAAACTGTGAGTACAAAACATTGTTGAGTGGCTTGTAATTTCCACTGGTAAGAAAAAATTATGGAATGACATGGCAAGAATATTCTCAACATAATTAAGGTCCATACTGCATATTTTATAATTTTCTCGGAGGGCTAAGCATGCAGAAAATTAAATAGCAGCAGTAAATACATGGATCAATCTGAACCTAAATTTAGAAATTTGGCTCATAATTAAATTTGGTAAAAAATGGGTAAATATGAACTTGACATGCTATAGTAACAAAATCTGTATTTAAGCTCATTTGGTGACAATTTTGAACAGTTTCTAACCATGTAAACTAGATGGATCTAGTGTGGCATCAGGCCTCATGCTCCAAAATAACAGAGCATCACCCATTTTTGGTTTCACTGAGAGACCCTTTTTTGCACATTGGGATAAATCATTCCACCATGGCACAGAACTAAAATTCGCTTTGGCAGCAGGAAATACGGTCTCACCACCTTCCTCAACATCTGAACTGTATAAGCAGAAAAACAAAATGAAAGAAATATCAAGTTTCTTTACAAAATCCATCAGAAATCACAATGAAAGACCATAATTTGGAAAGAGAATGACATCTTACAGGTACATAAGAACTGTAGCAATACGTTGGCCTCCATTCTTAGTGTTGAACTCATCAAGGAAGTAATCATAGTGAGGCTCATATTTTTGGCCTACTTCGTAGTGAAGAATTTGAAGTCCTTCTCCATTCTCTGAATATTTTAAAGTTAACAAAATAGTAAATGAGAAAAAATAAGTATTCAACCATGCCCATGGATAGGAAGTGCTATTAGAAAAATAAAACATTTTGACAAATACACAGGCTTTAGCGCTACTTGGGCATTAATGCATAATGTATCAATACAAACTGGGCCTTAGTCCAGAAACATTAGGCATGGGGTTTGGCAGAGTCCTGCGTCCAAACCACAGGACCTCCTGTGTTTTCCCTTCCCTCCATGGACCTCCCAAGTGATGAATTTCTTACTATAACAAAAATTAAACGTACTGATACAAGCCAGGAATTAATTCTTCAGAGTAATTCCATAAATTCAAATCATCAACTTTATAATGACAATCTAAAATACTCTGGTACTCTATGCCCTATGGACAGATCAATTTACTTTTGATACAATATCACCCTGCTTTTCCACAACAAACTTCCAATACACTAAATAAATTCTTCAAAAGAAAAAATAACCTAGTTTCATTCTTTGAAATTTTATTCTTACAGCTATAATAATTTAGGGAGCTGAGAACTGTTGTAATTTGTAAGAGACCCAGAAACAGAATATGAGAATTTAGAGAAAAAGATGTGAAGACCAAAAGAAAGAAATAGAAAGAATGCTTCTGTTATGAAATATTGAATGACAACAAAGAAAAGGAGAGAATTTTCTCCAAGGGTTTTCCCTTTCTACAACAAAGCTCAATTCCCAAATGCTAACAAATATGAATACATTTTCTTCTATCACCATAGCTATTTACTTGCTCTTCCAACTATAACCATCTAACTAATTCCATAACTACTTTGTAACTAACTCTAACTTTCTGACTTCATGAATCTTATGATTCTTATCAGAATCCTTCACCTTAATCTTAACCCTCATTCTGTATTGGGCAAAGTAGCCATTAGTTTGAAGACCTTACATAAAAAAAAAAAAAACCGTAGTTCTGTTTAATGTGAAATGCAAGCAATTCATATACATATACACCTTTCTGGGGCTATCGAACATATCAAACTAATAAGTTAAAACTAATGAATAAAATGAGATAAGGGAAAGAGATAAAACTCATACCTACAGGTATGAAGGTAAAATCAGCAATTCTTTTCTCTATCTTCTGGATAACTTTGTCTCTTCCCCTCTTCAGGAACATTCCTGAACTAGTTCGAACCCTACAGGCAGAGAATGTCTAGATTAATGCATTGCCACTAATCTCTCGAAAAAGTGTATAAACAAAAAATGCAATTCACAATTATTGTAACCATTAGAAAAACACACGATAAAAAGTCAAACCTGCTTTCTGTACTTTTCCCAGTCTTGCTATCAACAACACTTGATTTTACCATATGAGGTTTGGCAAGGTCAATCATGTACTCACATTCTTCTTTCGACTGTTCCAAATGATAAGCAGAATTAACATTTTCATACAATATTAATTTCAACAGTTTGCTACTGCAATAGTTTACAGAAGTAAAATAAGATCTCTCCCTTAAACTCTCGAGTCTTTCAACAGGTTCAAGTAGACCAAAAATCTGAACATTCTGCACAAACATAGTTACCAGAATTTTCTTTTATCACAAACTCTATAGAAGAACCTCAATCACAATATATTCAGTCTTCCCTTAGCCTAACCTATGCTTGCAGAAATTTCAATTAGAACACCACAGTCTTCCTTGATAAGGACGCAGCATTATAGATTTAGCACTCTATTCTACACTTGAACAATTTAATCATCAACAACATCGAAGAAACAAAATATTCCCAATCTCAACGGTTCAACAAAAATTCCACGCGCGAGGAACAACGCGTTGCATCAAGTTTAAAACACTCAGAGACGCCTAACTTCTAGCTAGCTCTCCAAAATAAAATAAAGAACGAGGAAAGGCAGATCCACAAAAAATTGACCAGAAAATTGTGATAGATGAAAGCTCTTGGCTCCCACGAGAGAATTTCGGTCCACTGCTCCTGCTGTTGTACCAAATTCTCGCCACTGCGCGATGCAACACTATGAAAGATTAAACACATTTGCGACCAAATCGAAATCAAACGGAGCAAAATGAATTTATAGCATAGCACCTTTGAGAGATCTTGCGCCTGAAGGCGCTGAGATCCGTGGTTGGAAAATTGTCGTCGGTAGTTGGAAGATAAACGATTCCGAGAGCGAGGAGCACGACGAGGATGAGTGTGAGGAAGAAAAGCGTCCACAAAAACAACGAAAATGTTGAGAACTTCTTCCCCTGTGCTCTGGTATGCGCATGCTTTACTTTCGCCATGTATTTGCAATAATGTTGAATCGAATCTGCTCCAAAACCCTAAGCAATGGACGAACGGTTTACTCAGTCGTACTTAAACAAACAAGTCCTCAGAATCGTGTCGTCACGACTTCATTGACTCCAGCCGCAACTTCCTACTTACCAAAATATTTCCGGTGTACTAACACGCCATGTTCTCCTTTTTTTGTTGTTTTTTTTTTTTTTTTTTATAAATAAAATGTAAGTTAAATCACATTTAATAAATGGTGTAAGGAGAGATAAACATAAAATGAATCTAGTACAATTTTTTGTTATTGGAGTAACATTATTCTTTCGCAAATTAAATATTAAAATAGTAAAAAATAAATAAATGTAATTTAGTTAAAATTTTAATAAATGAAAAGACAAAGAAATAATTGTACAATTTTTTGTTAAACTTGTAACATTATTCTTCTATAAATTAAATATTAAAATAGACATAAATTAAATGTAATTTGACTTAATTTTTGCAAAATGCTAGTCATTAATTGTTAGCTAACAATACATAAGGGCATCTCATGTTTTTGTTAAAAAAATATATGAATGAAATAAGTTAGTAAATTATTATTTAAGTTTAAATATTTTTATTTTTTTTTAAATTTAGAATATTTTTTTTTGTCTCTTAAATTTAAAATTATTTTTTTAATCTTGTAAATTCAGAAAATTTTATTTTAATTTTTATGCTTAATTTTTGTTTGAATATATTAAATATTGTCCTATAAAATCTACATGTTAATATTATTGTCGGTAAAAATATCACATTAATCTCTATTAATAATACATAAATGTCTTAATTTATCACATTAATTATATTATTGATAGTCTGAGAAATTAAAATAATATTTAAAAAAAACTAAGAGAATTAAAATGATTTAATTTTAAATTTGATAGATTAAAAAGAAAATTATCTCATATTTAAAAGATTTAAAAACATATTTAAACAATAATTTATTTATCATTATAATAAAGTGACATTTTTTCATTACCCAATTTCATTTCCAATTTATCTTTGTAACTATTTTGTAATTTTTTTTGTTGGTTTCTCTGAATTCAACACCAAATCTACACACTTTTTTAATTAACTACCAACTTTATTTAATTTTTATTTTTAAAAAATAAGAGAGGAATGAAGGGTCTCTTATCATCTAACTATTATAAAAACAATATCATCTTTTAATATATATTCCTTTCATGTGCACTTCCTTTGTCATTTTTACCTTTTAATTATATTTATTGGTTAAAGGATAAAATTGAAAATAAAAAATTACGGAAGTTTGAATGCAAACTATAAAACTATGACAGTTTTTATTGTAAAAATAGTAACTTTTTTTTTTTCACTTATTATGTTTTATTTTTTAAATATAAAGATATGGAGTGGTTTTTTTTTAGATATCAATAAAGTGAATGGTTACTCTTTTTTTTAAACATATCAACATTATTAAATATATTAATGGAGAAGAAACACTTTTGTACTTTTGTATTTTATTTAAATAAAAGAAAGAGAAAAGGAAAGTTATGTGAATAGTAAATAAATATAAAGATAATTGTTGATTATAGACTGTGTGCAAAAGTGAGAGAAAAAATTTATTTAAAAAATAAATAAAGACATTTAAGAATAGAATTGGCTCAATCGAGTAAAGGCTAGATATGATCGGAAGTGAAAGTATTTATTTATATATTATTATAGATTATAAATAAATATTAACAAAATCTAACCTGATTAAAAGTAGACAATCACAATTTTTTATTAAATTAATTATTAATGATTGATGAATATTTTGCATCATCTAAATAGTTTTAAAAAAGACAAAAAAATAAAGAGAAAATAATAAGGATGGAAGGGAAGAATGAAGAATTTTAAAAAGTTAAAAAAATGAATAGACAAAAATAATTTGGATTGGGTTCCATTTATCATACACTCAATTATTTACATTATGTGGTTGTGAGTTTAGAAATAGGTGAGAAATGAAATGGAGAAAAATAAAAAAGAGAAAAATAAGTAAATAGAATAAGTAAAAAAAATTAGGTGAAAATAAGATTATTTGATTTAAGAGAAATAAGTAAGAAATAAAAAAATATTATAAAATTATTTAATTTAAATAATACAGAAAAAATAAATATAATTAAAAAAATTACGATTTCATTCTCTTCTATATTACACACAATTTTTTTCTTATTTTTATTCATTATTTACTGGAATAATCAAAACATATTTATTTTATTACATTCCACATGCTATTTAAATACAATAAACAAATTTATAGTAGAATAGTTATTTATTTAAATAAATTACTATTTCAAACAAAATGTATAATTAGATGAGAGTTATTCAAATAAGGTTATCTTTTTATCCTTCATATATTCGAATAGAGGGTGGATGAGAGTTTGGATGGATACAAATATTATTAAAAAAACCCTCATTCTCTCTTCATTATTTATGCTTGGTTTTACTAAAAAAAAAAATAGTAATGTGTATTTTAGTTTGTAAATTTCTCCAATAATATATTTCATGTTAAACAATCAAAAATTATTTCATCACATATTTTATTTGAGTTTCTATCGAAACAAACAATGTGTTTGCAAAATCTTTCCGCAAGGCAAAAGTTTTAGTTTTTTAATTTATTAAAAACGATAAAATAACTTTTAAAGGGTGTTGGATGATTTTTTTGCATGTATCTAAAATATTTTCGGTTTGGAAATATTATAAATAAAAAAAAGTAAAAGTGGGGTGAGGAAAAGAAAAACAGAGAGTGTGAATAACAGGGCCTGACGGCCTCTTTAACATTAACATGTGTACTGTGTAGTAGTCCAGTGTGACTCTGTGAGCAGCGCATCATCCCGCAGATTCGCCGCCACCCAGCAACGCCTACTTCAGTGGCGGACACGAACCTCAACCATGGCCTTCATCAAATCAACCGCACGCTTGCGTCACTCCCTCTCACCCATCCTCCCTCGCACCTTCAAACCATACTCTTCTTCACCCCTAGAACTTTCCGAACCTCAACTTCACCACCACACTTCCCAAACCCCTAACCTATCCCCCGAAGAAACCGCCATAGCCGACAAATTCCACGCCGCAATCAAAGACCACCACCGCCGAAACCCTAACGCCCCTCCTCCCACTCCCACCCTCACCATCCCCGAACTCTCCCTCCATTTCTCCGCAATCTCCGCCGCCCACCCAATTTCTCCAGCCGTCGCCCGCCTCGTCATCGAGAAATGCGCCGCCCCCCGCCACGGCATCCCCTTCCTCCAGTCCCTGGCGTTCTTCAACTGGGCCACCGCGCTCCACGCCTTCCCCCCCTCGCCGGATCCCTACAACGAGATGCTCGACCTCGCCGGCAAGCTCCGACAGTTCGACCTCGCGTGGCACGTAATCGACCTCATGAAGGCTCGCGGCGTCCAAATCACCGTCCACACCTTCTCCGCCCTCGTCCGCCGCTACGTCAGAGCCGGATTGGCTGCGGAGGCGGGGCACGCGTTTAACCGTATGGACGACTACGGCTGCACCCCTGATAAGGTCGCGTTTTCAATTCTCATTAGTAGCTTGTGTAGGAAGAGAAGGGCGAACGAGGCACAATCGTTTTTTGATTCACTTAAGCATAGGTTTGAGCCTGATGTTGTAGTCTACACTAGCTTAGTTCATGGATGGTGCCGCGCTGGTAACATTTCTAAGGCTGAAGAGGTTTTTAGTGACATGAAGATGGCTGGAATCCAACCTAATGTTTATACTTATAGCATTGTCATTTGCACGCGTTTAACCGTATGGACGACTACGGCTGCACCCCTGATAAGGTCGCGTTTTCAATTCTCATTAGTAGCTTGTGTAGGAAGAGAAGGGCGAACGAGGCACAATCGTTTTTTGATTCACTTAAGCATAGGTTTGAGCCTGATGTTGTAGTCTACACTAGCTTAGTTCATGGATGGTGCCGCGCTGGTAACATTTCTAAGGCTGAAGAGGTTTTTAGTGACATGAAGATGGCTGGAATCCAACCTAATGTTTATACTTATAGCATTGTCATTGATTCCTTGTGCCGGTGCGGGCAAATTACTCGCGCTCATGATGTTTTCTCCGAGATGATTGATGCAGGGTGTGCTCCTAATGCTGTTACTTTCAATAGTTTGATGCGGGTTCATGTGAAGGCTGGTAGGACTGAGAAGGTCTTGCAAGTTTACAATCAAATGAAGAGGCTTGGTTGTGCTGCTGATACAATTAGTTACAATTTCATAATTGAGAGTCATTGTAGGGATGAGAATCTTGAAGAGGCTGTGAAGGTTCTTAATTTGATGGTGAAGAAAGGGGTTGCACCTAATGCATCCACTTTCAATTTTGTTTTTGGATGCATTGCTAAGTTGCATGATGTGAATGGTGCGCATAGGATGTATGCTAGAATGAAGGAACTGAAGTGCCAGCCCAATACTTTGACTTATAATATATTGATGAGGATGTTTGCGGAGTCGAAATCTACTGATATGGTTCTGAAAATGAAGAAGGAGATGGATGAGAATCAGGTTGAACCTAATGTGAATACTTACCGAATTTTGATTTCGTTGTTTTGTGAAATGAAGCACTGGAACAATGCGTACAAGTTAACGAAGGAGATGGTTGAAGAAAAATGCCTAAGACCGAATTTATCAGTTTATGAAATGGTTCTGGAGCAGTTGAGAAAGGCTGGCCAGCTGAAAAAGCATGAAGAGTTGGTGGATAAGATGGTTGCCAGGGGATTTGTGACTCGCCCTTTGTAGAAGTTGCTTGATCCTTCGCATCTTTGAGGTGAATAAGAGAACTTCCAAGTTTGACTATAAAATGGTGGTATTGTTTGTTAATCGCTACAAGTGGGGTTTTTTTATTAACCCCCGAAGTGTACCTTATTCTTTTTAATCTAGACGCTCTAGCCTCTACTTGTTATTTATACCCCAGTGTACAATGGTGGTTTAGATGATTAAGATCTTGGATGAAATTTTTTTCAATTTGATTAACTTGGCGGCCATGATTTATTATTTGGATGCTGCCCGAAATTTTAGGTGTTCATGAAGCAAATGGCACAAATGTTGTTTGAAGCATTTCATTGTGCTTGTAATTGAGGAATGTTGTTCTTGTCGCTGGGAAGGGTACTCAATTGAGTACTTGTTCTCGAATTGCAAGTTTGTCACATTTGCAAGGTGTGAAAACAATAGGGGGCATTTGTAAATCTTAACCGAGTCCTGGAGGTTTCAAATTTCTTTCATTACTCATTATTTATTTCTAATTACTGTTGCTATTTATTTTTAATGAACTCTTAAATTTTGCTTTAGAAGCCGTGGACTGATTCGATTGAATGAAACACTATGCACGTTACTAGTATGTCCCTGTTGTTGGTGGAGTTGCTAACGAGTTGTGCCATGTTCAAAAGGGATTGGGATGCTCTAACAAGTGGGAGGAGGTAATGCTTCTATCAGTTGCTAAACCAGCCACACAATCCTTGCCCAAATATGGTTCTCCCCGTCATGTTTTTACCAGATTGATAAACTCTTTCTTATTCTTTGGTAGCAAACCGTAACGTGAAGCTAAGCAAGTTACGATGCGTTTGCTGCCTGTAAGACAAATAGTTGCTGCTCTGATATGTCTAAAAAAAGTTATCCATTAATTATGAATCGAAATTAAGAGTAATTTATAAATTCTCTCTTTAACTTATCGAGACCTTTTTTCAAAGATAAAATTATGATGGTTAAAAAGTATTAAAATAAATAATATCTTAGATATAATGATTTTAATAATGATAACGGATTTACAGTCAGATAATTAACATTAAAATGAGGATTTAAGCTGCTTTTATTTTTTAATTTTAATTTTATTCCTTAATTTTAATTGAAAGACTTGTTTTGAAATATCTATAAAAAAAGTCTCATTATTTAAAAGGTAGTCGTTACGTTAGAAACACCTCAAAGGATGAAATAGAAATTAAAATTAAAGATATTTTATAAACATTTTTTTGTCTTTAATTCACCAAAACATTTTTTTAAAATCAAAATCGTAACAGTATAATGAGTGTCAACGGACAATATTTTGGTTGTGATGATCTAATAATGATGGCGAACTTCCTGTGGAAACAGTTACTTTTCCGGTTCATATTGAATTGTAATATATTGAATTGGATGACGGCTTAGTTAGAAGTTTTTATGACATTTTGCAAGGCTTAAAGATTGTTATACGTTCTTCCAATATAATACTTTTTTTCAGTCTGATATATTTTCAAGGCTGTAAGACATAGACAGGTTCGCGGTAGAACACAGATTCTCTGCAGTTACTCATCTCTATCTCTACTTCCATTTTTTTGTTCTATGTTTGGGACAAAGCAAGTCAAAGGTTGGAGTTGAGTTGAGAGAATCAAATTCAATCTTGGTGCAGTGGCCGACTGTGGGAATGAAAAATTCCCCTGATTGCAGGGAATCCCGGTCCAAAAACCACATGGATCGAGATCCTCTACAGATTTAAAACAACTGCATGAGATTTCAGCCATACATATAATTTAATATTTGATAATTTTAATATATAAAGAGAAAAACTTAAATTAACGGTGAGATCAATAATTGCACGGGTGCCTTTGTTTTCTAAACTGTAGGTGGTCAATTTCCATAACTAAAGAAAATTCAAACGTATTTGAACCCGTCGTAATCTTTTTTCTTTTCCCTTCCTGCTCTATTCAGATTTAGCTATTCTTGCAATTAAATAATACCATTTAAGAGTTTCTTCTTTGAATTTTTTTTTTTCCCTAAACTGTTTGTCAAAATGATTATATTCACGAACGTCGGGGAAGCCCATTATTCACACGTGTTGATTTAAAAGGATATGCACGTGTTCAATTAGATGGGTTCGAGTATGGTAACGCAGTAACGCGCCAACGCAACTACACAAGCCAGTTCAAGTATGGTTCTTAAATGTTTAATTTGTAAGTTTTTCTTATTAATTTTTATACAACGTCTGAATTAAAATATAAGTAATTACTTAATATATAAATTAATTAAAATTATAAATAAAATATGACAAGTTTCGCATAAATTTATCCGAACCCAATAAAATATAATGGAGATAAGGATGAGATTTAAAAATACAATCCTTTTGCTGTCAAAATCAAAATACAATCCCTTCTCATTAAAACTATAACCTTCGTTGTAGCTTGTAACGACAAAACTCGCGCCGCTCCCACCCCCATTAGGGCATATCTACTAGTGAGCTTAGCTACAATATTATATTTTTTTAATTTAAAAGTGTTGCTAACTATTTATCAAGGAATTTTATTTTATTTTATTTTTTATAAAAGAGTTTAAGTGAGTTGGATTGCGGTGGCTTATCAACATCAAGGTACAATTCAAAGTTGTATGAGAATTTCTTTTAGAATATGAGTTTGTTTATTAATTGACTAACCTTATTGACTTAAAAAAAATCTTACTAAAACTCAAGTTAATGATGCTCGGATTAGAAACTGAATAATATCATTGATGAGCCCCTACCTACGTCTATGAAGTTAAATTCTACCTCTGCGGAGAGATTTGTCCAGACCTTTATTGGTATCAACTGTTTAAATTAAACTAATTAGAAACTAATATATCATTTCTTTTAAATTAAACAAATATATGACAAAAAAAATCGATTTATAATTTATAAATTAAGTTTTGGGTTAAAGTTTGTAAGTTAAGAATAAAGAGTTTTATTTCTCCGAACAAGTTCACCTAAATCAAGTTGAATTAATTAATCGGGACTTAAGATACTAAACGTTTTAAAGAAAGAGGGAGATGACACAGTTGAATGAGTCTGTTTTAATTTGACTTGACTTACAAAGTAAGAGTTTAAAATTCATTAAAACATTGTGTTCAAGGTTAAGCTACGCTATAAGCGCAATTATTCGCATACCAAATAGTTGTAAAACACCTAATGAACAACCTTAAAAACATTGATTCTAAATGATGAAAAATTGAACGAATGAGTAAAAGTTATTTTCTATTAAAATATCTGTGTTTAGCACTGATTATTAGTACTTTATTATGTTGTACATTACAATATAGAGTTTTTATACTTTTACTTAATCACATATCGTTATTTTAAGATAAATTTATTAACTTTCATCTCAAATATTTTAAAGTATATATTAATAATATTTTTTATTTGGTTGATGGAGTAAATATTTTTACATTAACAATACATACAAATTTAAATCTTATTTTATTATTTATGTATTTATCTTATAAGTATTTTAAAATGTTTCATTACAATACAAACAAGTGTTTGATTCGGGTAAAACTAAATTTAAGTATTTCATATTAATAACCTGATAAAAAAAAGTTTCAGTATAATAATATTTTGTATATACTTACCAAATTACCAATAAATCTGTTAACATTAATTACTTTTAAAAAAATATGGAAATAGATTTTAAACGCGTTTCAATTATCGACAAGTAAAAACAATTTTCTTGTAAAATCCACGTTTATGTCATGATTCGAGTTGTCTTATTTTATTGAAGCCTTGTTTTCGTATACTTTAAGAAGCACATACCGCGTTCAATGATTAGATCAAAACTTAACAAGTCAGAAATAGACGAAATCAAGTGCGCAAAGGACAGCATGAAAAATTATTTCGGTAATAGGAACAAATTTACGAAGTTTAATAGTATTACGTTTTTTGATAAATATTGTGTACAGAATAAATATATATTTTATATGATTAAATTATAATAAACAAAATTATTAATATAGTATATTATAATTAAAAAATACAATAAGTAAATACTGTAAAATATATAAATTATATTTTGTATTTATAATGGATAATTTAATTTAATATAAAAATACCTTTTAACTACTAACTTTTTCTAATTATTATGATTGAATTTAGAAATAGAAATAAAAAAGGTAGATTTTTAACGGATAAATGGTTAAGAAACTTAAGTATACAAATATAAATAAATGATTGATAGTTTGAAATGTTTTGGGGAAAATTTTTGACTAATTGAAAGTGTGTTATGTGAAATGAAAGGTTTGATAAATTATGGATTCTAATTTATAATATAGAAATAAATTTATTTTTACATTTATTAAGAATGTGTTTAATAAGGTATTTGATGTGTTTATAAGCTCTTTTAATTAGCTTAAAATTTATTTGATTAAAATAATCTTATTTTGTACACAAATTTATTTTAAAAATTTATAACTTATTTTTATAAGTTAATTGAAGTAGTTTATAATTCATAAATTCTTAACTTTTTCTCTTTCCTCTTTTAACATTATTTATTTACTTGAAATTTCTTTTTATTTATTTATTTTTATTTTAGAAATCATTATGTCTATATCTTAATCTCTCTTTTTATTAAATAAATAAATATGTCATTTTATATTAGTCAACTAACTTATCAATTAATTTTATTAAATACTTTCAATTTAATAAGTTAATTTATAAGCTTTTGACTTCTCAACTAGTTTATAAATTTTCAGTCATATGAGTTAATTTTACTAAAAATAACTTAAGTGAAATAAAACAGAAGATTAATGAATTAAAAAATGATTTAATTGAATATGATTATATTTTTTGAAGTTGAATATTTAATATTTAATATTTTTAATCCTTGTACATAATATTAACGAATGACTGCAGTAAAATATATATAAGCAATATAAAAGCCATATTCTTGTACAATTTTATATAATGTTTAAAATATAAATTAATTTAAATACATTAGTTTAAAGGTTTTTTAAACCGTCATTTAATCATAGCTTGTCATGTTTGATAAAATTATTAATTTTTGTATATAAAAATTAGTATTGCATTTTTATAGAAACCATAGGTATCTTTTATAGGAAACATGATATTCGTGTTGAGTAAGATGGTTATGAAGAAAAAAAATTACCTCTAAATATTTAATGTATTTACATATTTCCAACTTGAATCAAAAACCACTAATTAAGCATACAATAATCTCATGTTTATCAATTCGCGCGTTTGACAATTATAATAACTACTTAAAAATTTATACTCATATACATGCTTATTAATATTTATGATTCTTGAAGCTTAATTTTTCATTTACCATCAATATATAGTTTTTTTATTCATTGATCCAAAATCAGTTTTGATATGATTTTTTTATAAATAGTTATTATAAAAATTAGGCTTTTTGACCAAAGTGGGGTCGTTGATCAAGTTATTTACGTAAATGGAGCTGTTTTGAATTTATTTACGCCTTTGGGGCTGTTTACAACGGTGTCGCTATGGCCCATAGCGACACCCATGCCACGTGGCTTTTTTTTTTTGCGTAGGGATGGCTGGAATGAGCCACAACAGTGTCGCTATGGGCTGGACCAACACAGTTTGTGAGCCAACAAAGATGGTGTAGCCCATAGCGACACCATTTAAGAAAAAAAATGAAAAAACCTAAAATAATTTAAATGTAACCTTAAAATAATCAACTGAGTATACTTATTATATATTTATAAAAATAAAAAATATTTATTTTCAAAATTTTCGTTTTTTTGGGTTATTGGGTTTTTTTTTTCTCCAGATTTATTGTACTAGTTTTTTTTTTCTAAAAATTATTTTGTAACTCATTTTTTTTTGTATTTTTTATTATCTCCATTTATATAAATACATTCTGTTCCTAGAAATTTTTTTTTTCATTTTTTATTATGCACTATATACAATTTTTAAATAAAATATATCTGTTAAAAACTGTTGCAAACACAGATTCTGTGCTGTTTGTGCTCTCTTAGTCACCTTCTTCTGTTGCACAGTTTGAAAGCAAAAATACATAAAAGTATATATAAAAGAAATAAAGAAAAACCACTTTCCAGTGTTGTGTGAAAAGGTTGTTGCTCTGCTTTGTTGTTTGAAGAGTGTGTAGAATAAGAAGGCATAGAGAAGAAAATGAAGTACGCGTTGGTGACTGGAGGAGTTGTTAGTGGCCTTGGCAAAGGTGTTACGAGAGCTGCGTGAGGGTCTTCCACTTGTGTCGTTATGGCCTATAGCGACACAGTGTCGCTATAGGCCATAGCGCCACTAATTTTTTTTTTTTAAATTATTAACTTAATTTATTTTTTACATTTGAATTTATTTTTTTAAGCCGTTTGGTGGCGCTATGGGCTATAGAGACTTTATTTAAGCCGTTTAGTGGCGCTATGGGCTATAGCGACTTTATCTATATGGCTTTCATGGCTTCCCTGAAGTGAAAAAAATGCCACGTGTCACCGGTGTCGCTATGGGCTATAGCGACACCGTTATAAACAGCTCCAAAGGCGTAAATAAATTCAAAACAACCCCATTTACGTAAATAACTTGGTCAACGACCCCACTTTGGTCAAAAAGCCTAAAAATTAATAAACTTATTATATATAAATTGAATTACAATTTTCAGTACATATATTGTTTATTGAAAATAATACAATATTTTATTTGTCATTTATAAATAAAATAAATTAAACATCTTATTCGATTCTCATTTTAAACATAGAGTTAAAATTAGAAGAACACCTTATTAAAGAACCGATCCGATGAGAAGTTCCTTATTAAGATAAAAACATAAGATGAAGAAAAAAGGACACCCTACTACATTAATTACAATCTGTTTCAGTGTTCCTACTTAATGACTCCAAAAAATTCCAAATGACACTTAGCATTTATAATAAATAATATATGTGGTGGTTATGTAACTTAAAAAACAACAATAATTATAGTTATACAACCTACGTTATTGGCCGAAGCAAATAGATTTTTATTTTATTTTATTTTATTTTATCTTTCTTCCGAGTCTCATACTGCTTTTCTTTGACCAAACCCTTTCTCCGTTTCCCTTACCCACCTTTCTTGACAAAATCAATTATTAATAAACAACTCTGATATAACAATGTTCCTTAATGTACTAGTTCCACCTTTGACCTCTATGACAATCCAACATATATAAGCACATTCCACCCCATTAGAAGTTAGAACACACCAAAGTGACCAAACATCAAATTCATTCCAACTCTTGCAAGATTCTACTGATCTTTCACAATAAGGATAGTCTTATCCATGGAGAAACAACTTAAGCTGAGGAGCAAAATCTTGAAGGCACTTCCAAAAGCAGTTGCAGCAGTCACTGTGACATTTCAAAACCCTCCATTCAGCCCTGGCAGGGACCACAAATCAAAACCTATGGTATCCATGATTCCCCACGAAGCTAGAAGAAAGTCACACGATAGGGGCCATAATGGCATTGATGAAATTTATTCTCAAGAACCCACTTCACCAAAAATCTCCTGCATGGGACAGATCAAACACAAGAAGAAAGCCAAGGGTAAGAGCACGTGCACGTCCATACCAAAGAAAACGAAGAACGTTGCTAGCAATACTTCCCGAGACATAGAGGTAAAGAAGCACGTTTCCACGTTTCAAAAGATGCTATTGTTCAATGGGGCGAAGCCAAAATCTGAGGGGAGAAAATCCAACGCTTCTGCTCCCGGAGATATTGACAAGGATGCTGCAGCACGTGCACCGCACGTGAGTCAGATGAGAAGGTTTTCAAGTGGACGTGACGCTCTTGCTGATTTTGATTGGAAGGTGGCGCAAGACGAAGAGGAAATTGATTACTATTCGGATGAGTACAGAGTGGAGAGTAGTGATGGTGAAGAAGAGGAAGAGGTTATGATTCCTTTCTCTGCACCCATTTTGGTTGGTCATGGTCATGCGTGTGACCTTAATTTGAAGCCACGAAAAGAAATCAACCTATGGAAGAGAAGAACTATGGCTCCACCTAGGCCTCTCCAATTAGACAGAGCAAACTGATTATTAATTAGCTTACGATGATGAATATTTGTTCTTTCAATTTTTTAATTCCTTTTGTTTTTTGGTTTTGAAACATTTTATGTGCAGAATCCCAGACAGATTTAATTAGATAGAGCAAAAAAATGTAATATATATGATAAGCAACATGGTATATGGCATCAAAATTACGATTTGTATGAGTATCCTACTGGTCCAGTTATCAAATGTCATTCAGGAAATTCAAATTACAAAAGTGAACAAATTTATTCTTTTTGAAATTAAAAAATCCAACATGCTGTCAATAGTTGTAGATTTGGTCAAATTGGATAATCGATGATAACTAATCAAGGGTATTGGTTGGTCGACAAAATTGAAATTTGGAATTATTTTATTTTATTTTTGGTTTTGTATGCGTCATTCATCATTGGAAATACTTTTAGAGTTAATCACTTACACAAACAATGTAAAGTATTTTTACACTAACAATCAATTATATCTCTTAGTTGTGTCATATCATTGTTAAAAATAAATATATTTATAATGACATGACACAATTATGAGATATAATTAATTGTTAGTGTAAAAAATTTTACATTGATAGTATATAAGTGATTAACTTATACTTTTATTTGTGGTGTAGTTGGGTCTCTCGACGAAAAAAAATCGAAACCATAATTTGTTATTTTATGAAATTTTTTCTACTTTCTAGTTTCTACTAGGGTTTACCACATTAATTAATATAACACTTCGCAATATAATTCACATGCGTAACGAGTATCAGGGCAATAAAAACATTCAGAAATGTATCAGAATTCAGAACTGTTGCATAAAATGTTGTAACAGTAGCAAATGACCATTAATTTTGAAACCATTCCCTTTAAAATGTTGAAAATTAAATCAATTAATTGTTGGATTTAAAGGAATTTTATCATTATTCAGTTTTTTTTTTGCGCCTGTAGATTCACCTTCTTTATTATGAGCACGTGAATTACTTGTAAAGAATATTGCGTTAAATATTTTATCGACCATAAAGATCTTATCCGACACGAATAAAATAATTTTTTAGTAATAATATCTATAATTATTATAAAAATTCCGAGATTTCATTTCTTTTTTGTCTTTTTTTTGTTAACTTTTCCTTCGTAAAACTTACACACAGATTCGTTAAATATAAATTGGACTAAACTTTAATATGAAACCGTAGCTTCAAGGAATGCATAAGAAAAATGTTGAATTGAGTTTCTAAAAACATTTTGAAAATCTTTTCAAATTAAAACAGGTAAATAGGATAGACAAAATACATTGTCTTAAGAAAAAACTTGTTACTAACGGTAAAATGTTATAAAATATTAAATGTAGCAGCTCATGTCAGCTGCTCCATTGCAAATGATCATAATAATAAATAGTCTATTTAAAGTTATGTTAAAAAAATTGTTATTAATATTTTTTATAAGTCTCGTTATCATAAAATTAATATTGCCTTGGTCGTAGTAAAACAGGGCTCGGGATCCTTGGATCACACTTAAATGAGATTTTGAATTTAAGCATTATAAATAATATATATATTAAGAGTCCGTTTAAACTTTTTTCTTAAGAAATGTTTCTTAATAAAATAATTACTTTTTTAATTATTTCTTAAACGTGTTTGTTTAAACTTATTTGAAAAAGATTTTTTTTTGTTTTTTTAAAAGAAAAAACTTTAATCTACATCTTTAAAAATTACTTTTTTTAAAAAAAGCAATTCTTTATATATATATACATATATAT